CCATTTTGTGTCTTATGAGAGTATAAAATTTGAAGTGGTTCCTGTTTTCCTTGACATTACTTGATTCTCATTTGAAGTAATTTATTTTTCTGTTACAGATGAAGAGATACTGAGATTGTAGGTAGGTTCAATATCAGAAGAGTCTGGCATCTTTATTGATTATTCTATGAGCTTCCGGAATGTTCCTATTAAGGAGCAGGAGAGAGTAAAACAAGTCAAGAAACGACAATAGGGAAATCTGTAAGATCAGAGAAAAATGCACAAAGAGACATTGGGGAAGTCAATGAAAGAGAGTTTTTTATAGTGGACTATATGGGAAAATGCTAGAAAGATATATTTTAAAAATATTTCAAATACAATGATTGTTGTCAGTTTGTCACATGCACTAAAATATTATTTTTTAGAAAATCTTCTACATAACTAGATTGCTTCATCAGTCTCTGTTCGCTGGAGTAAATCATATTGTACTGCTTTGAAATGAAAAGACTTTTAGCAATTTTGTTTTAGCTTGTGATCTCACAGGAGAGAAGTAATACTTTGCAAAGCTTCAAGGATTTAATATAAGATAAACAATTTTTTTCATCAGACTTAATATAAAATATAACAGAACTATAAGCATAATAATTCATTTTAATATTAAAATAAAGTCGAGTAAAACTTTGTAGTCTGATTAGTTTGGTATGTGAAATTATGAAAGGCTCAAAAATAAATAACAATTAGTTAAAACTTGAAATAGGCAAAGAAAATATGTTTAGAATTTATAGATAGATTTTTCTGTCATTTATATTATAATGTTATCTCTTGTCTGCAGATAAGCAGAAAAAATAATCTTTTAAAAGAAGCTATGAAAAATGTAAGACATGAGAACTTTATTCCAATGATGTTTGGAAGGTGAAAAGATTCTAATTCTTAGTTGTTTACATCAGAAGTAAGTTGATATTCTTTCATTTAACAAAGCATTCATTAAGCACCTACTATGTACTTGGCACTGTTCTAGGCTCTAGGGTTACAACAGTGATACAGGACAGTGGAGAAAATAAAGTAAGAAAGAAAGAGTAGAAGTGGCCACAAAGAAGGGTAGTATTAGTTTCACATATAGGAGTCAGAGCGGGTTTCACTGAAAAAAAGTGACAATAAAACTAGTCATTCTGGAAATATGGATTCATTTAGCCATAAATAATTTGTACCAAACCATAAATGTGGGGAAGAACATTCCAGATAAACTGAACAGCAGATGAAAAGATCCTGGGTCAGTGACATGTTTGCCATTTTCAATAAAAGCAAGAAAGTCACTGAGCCCAGGGTGGAGTGATTGAAGGGGTCAATAGTAAGAGATGAGGTTAGTGAGATGAAGGGGCTGGATTGCTATAGTCTCATCAGTCATTAATAACTACCTCATAGGTCCTTGGCTTTCATTACAAGTGAAATGAGACTCGTTTCCCAGAAAAATATGAAGAGAATAATGACAGGATCTGGGATCAGGTAGAGTAGTGCTTAAGGCATTTGACTGCTAACCAGAAGGCTGGTGGTTCAAACCCACCAGCTACTCCTTGGAATGAAGGTTGGGCAATCTCCTTTTGCAGAGATACCACCTTGGAAACACAAGGAGGGGTTGCTGTGAGTCAGAAATGACTCCACAGCAGTGAGTTTGGTTTGGTTTTAACAGGATCTAATTTTATTCTCAGGAGCTCTGGAACAGCCTGTCTGCTGGAGTGCTGTTGTCTAGTTGCCACTGAATCAACTCTGATTCATGGAGACCCCATGTGTGCAGAGTAGACTGCTTCATAGAGTTCTTGAGGCTGTAATCTTTTGGAAGCGGATCACCAGGCCTGTTCTTCAGGAACCTCTTTGTGTTCAAACCACTAACCTTTTGGTTAGTAGTCAAGCATTTAATCATTTATACTACCTGGGGACTCTAGCTATTTGGTTGTTGTTGTTGTTGTTGTTGTTGTTATGTGCCATGGAGTCAGACTCAACTCATAGCAACCCCTCCTTGGGTTTCCGAGGAGGTATCACTACAGAGGTAGATTGCCCAACCTTGGAGTGGCTGGTGGGTTTGAACCACCTTCTGTTTAGCAGTCAAGTGCCTTAAGCACTACACTACCCGAGCTCCTAGCTATTTGGTTGTTGTTGTTGTTATGTGCCATCGAGTTGGACCAGACTCATAATGACCCCTCCTTGGGTTTCCGAGGTGGTATTACTATGGAAGTAGATTGCCCAGGAGTGGCTGGAGGGTTTGAACTGCCAGCCTTCTGGTTAGCAGTCAAGTGTCTTAGGCACTATGCTACCAGAGCTCCTAGCTGTTTGGTTAGGAAGAGATTATATGCAAGTGATAGCAGAAGCAGGAAGAGCTGTTTGAGGCTACAGCAGTAATTCAAGTGAAAGATGATGGTGGCTTGAACCAATGGTGATAGCAGTTGAAGTGGTGAAAAATGGTGGGATTCTGAATTTATTTTGAAAGTAGAGTGACAAAGCTTCCTGATAAATTGGATTTAGATTGCCAGAGAAAGAGAGGAGCCCAAATGACTCTAAGAATCTTAACCTAAGCAATTAAAAGGATGAAGGGACTATTTACTGAGAAGAGAAAGATTGCAAAAGAAGTAGATGTAGGTGGATAGTAACTGGAAGTTTGATTTGGGCCATATTTTGTCTGCAATGCCTATTATTTCCACCAGAATTGTTAAATAATCAGTTGTGTATATAATTCTGGATTTCAGGGGAGAGTTCCAAAGTGGAGTTATAAATATGGAAGACAAAGATATGTAAATCCATGAGGTTGGATGACATCATCAAAGAAGTGAGTGTAGGATAAAAAAGAAGAGGCCTAGAACTGAATTTCAAGGCATACTAATGTTAAGAGATCAGGGAAAAGAGAAGAACTAGTAGGTAAACTGAGAAGTCAAATTCAGGTAATGTTTCTTCAATATTAACTTTTTTTCTGAAGGCAATGGCATTATATAAGCTATAGTGACCCTAAGTGGTTTTCAGTTTTTATAGGATTCATGTGGATATTTGCTATTTGTTCCTTACTTGCTCTAAACCTTAAACTCTTGCTTTTGTTCACTCATTCCCCTTCCTTGATGTCTGTATCACATACTTTTCAAATATTTTTATTGGTAGTGTAACTTAATCTGAGTGTAAAATGCATTTGTGAAAACTGTCAAAAGTAATTTGAGGATTCATCTGATAAATAAAATGGGTGACCAAGTTGGTTAATATTGTTTTTCATCAAAAGTTAGGCATGGCCATACAGTAGCATCAAAAAACTTACTGTGTGGTTTATATGCAGAATCTAAAACCAATTTCAATAGATGTGTTATAAAGTGTTTTGAGCAATGACAACACTTCAGGAATAAATATATTGTATCCAGGAGGATTATTTTCAAGGAAAA